AACGTGGCCTGACGAGCGGTGTCATGTCCGCGCCCAGGATCCAAACCCTGGGCCGCCGCAGTGGAGCGCATGAACTTCACTCAGCCACGGAGCCGGCCCCTGGTTTTTTAAAAAAAGAAGAAGGGGGTTGGGAGAAAATGCAGAGTCTGGGTGTTAGGCAGCTTTTTGCGTTAGCAATGCTGTGTAACAGACAACCTGGGCACGTAGTCATTTACAAAAGCAAACGTGTATTTCTTGCTCACAGGTCTGTGAGTCAACTATGCCTCAACTGCGCCCGCTGGGCTCAGCTGGACTCGGGTGTCTCTCATTCTAGGACCCAGGCTGAAGAAGCAGCATTTCTCTGCAGCATGTTCTCAGGGCGGGCGGCACAAGCAGAAGAGGCCAAGCCACGCCATGCAAATGTGCACGAAGCCTCAGCTAGCACACAGCTTCCTTCACGCCTGCTCACACTCCACTGGCCAAGGCAAGTGGCATTGCCAAGCCCAAAGTCAGAGGCTTGGGAAAGTATTCACTGCCTAATGAGAGGCTCTGAAAAGTCTCAAGGTAATGGGGCTGGGCGGGTAATCTTATTTCAGGGGGGAGTGGAAGAGCTGGAAACAAGCCAATCTACCCGGGCTACTGGGCGACATACTTGCCATTCCTGCTCTATGAGACATCTGTCTAATGTCCGCTGCATTGGGATCTTTTTTCTTTAAGAGAAATGACTATATTTTAAACTCTGATTATAAAAGTAGTAATATCAGACGCTACAGAAAACTTTAAAATGTAAACCTTAGCTATAATCCCACCATTCAGGGTTAACCAACGTTAACAGCTTGGTGTTCATCCTTACACACTTTCATACGTATATATAATCACACTCATGTTATTTTTAACACCATCAGGATTACGATACATACTGTTTTGCAATCTCTATTGTTCGTTAAAATTTCATTAATACCTTTCTGTATAAAAATATAGATCATTTTTTAATGTTTGTACGAATTGGATGGTACTTACATTTTCGATGTGTTTATAAATATTTTTTCACCAATAATTCTGCCATCCTAAGAGATTTATTTCCATTTCTCCTGCTTCCTTCCAATCTGTATTAATGTTATTCAATTTTTCCTTCATCATAATCATAGTATATACGTCTGTGGGTTTGCACACTTAACATTATTTCATAAATGCTTTTCCATGTTGTTACAATCTGGGTACCTGTTCTTTTTGGTGCTCACATACCATCATTTAATTAGCCAATTCCTGTTCTTGGACATTGTGGTTATCTCTAGCATTTTACTATTACTTTCATTCATTCCAAAAATTCTTATTACATTCGATTGGCTGAGTTTTTTCTGCCTTCTTTTCCACCATTCTTCCCCTCATGTCAAGTGGAGGTGGGATGGTGGTTGGCATTTTCCAACCGTTGAATTCAGGAATAGTTTAGTAATTCAATAGTAGTAGTTTACTGGTATAGATTTATATAATTCGTAGCCACGTCCTTATACAGTTATTGACAGCTGTCCTGAATAGGAGTGGCTTCCAGAAATTCTCCTATTGCCCACTAAGCTGATTCAGCTCATTTTGTGACACCAAAGTACAGGGCCAGAAGTTATTTGGTGATGGGAGCACGTCCTACAGTGCCCAGCACCAGAGGCACATGTGGGCAATGGAGGAGAAGCAAGGTTTGAAATATACAGAGCTAGAAGCTATGGGAAACAGTGGCCACATTTTCTGATACGTGAGAAAAGCCCACCTACAAGGAAAGGATAAGGCTGACACACAGAAAGAGGCAGAGACCAGGATGGAAAGAATGTTCCAGTGGTATTCACATCCTGGGTCAGTTACTCCTAAAGTCTGATCGTATCCCTGCTCTTCCCACGATTGGGCGGTCAGCCTCTCCTTGAATTCCACGAGCCAATAAATCCCCATTTTGTTTGAACAAGAGCCCAGAAGTAGAGGCACCGAGCTGATGCTAACACCACAGCTTCTGGGCCAGTGCTGGACCTAGAAAGATGGACAAGAAATGGACCAGCCCTCAGGGGCCCAGAGACTATGAGAAACCAGGATAGGCAAACAAACAATTACACCGTGCTGTGCCGACTTTCCTAACACAGCTGTTCCAACTGAAGTGAGAGCACAAGAAGGGGACCCCTGAACACATGCAAGAACGGAATACATTTTAGCCAGGAGTGAGAGTCTGCTCAGTTTTAGGGAATAAATAGTTCAAGCGGTGAGCATTACTATGACATCTTTGTTAGGTCATTATTTTTCTTCATTCAGATGACGTTAGGGTAATTCAGGAATAGGATTACTAAGCTGAAGAGCATAGACATATATCTATCATGGTCTTTGCAGACCACTACAAAATACCAAGGGAGTTAGGAGGCAAGCGGCACACACCCCCTCTTACTTAGTCCCCTAAGTAAGTTAGAGCTCTGTCTAGCTTTATTTCCTGCAGCAGCCCTCTCCCTGTCCCCTCTCGTCCCCAAGGCCCAATCTCATATTCCAAGACCAAATTCACTAAGTCAAAAGACAAATTACAGACATACCTGTCTAGGAAGTCTCTACCCTCTCTCGTGCCCACGGGGCTCTCTCAACAATTAAGAACCCAGTTCCTCTAACAAGTAGTCATTTAGCACTGACTATGTAGCCAGTGGATGGGGACTCCTTTTAACACTGGACTTTCCCCTCAGATGCTCGGTGCAGAGGACTGGCTCAGCAGCAGGTGCGATGGAAATGAGGCCCAGCTTGGCAGTCAGACAGAATCGCTCTGTGACTTCCAAGTTGTTTGATCTCAAATGACTTCTTTCTCTCGGATTCAGTTTCTTCGTGTATATATTGGAGCTAATAATATCTACCCTTTCATTCATTTAACAACTACTTAAAGTTCACTAAGAGACAGCGCGGTACTCTAGTGGAAAGAGCAAGGACCAGACAGACAGAACCAGAGTTGAATCCTACTTTGCAACCATATTTCATTACATCGAGGACATCACAGATCGCAAGATGGACCATTATTTTATGTTCCCCCAAGAAAAAAAACACTGCCAAATTCTGCCACAATGATTTCTTATCTCTTGGAATTGTTATTAAAAGACCTCTTTTGGGCTTAGTGATATTTTGACACAGATTTTTATTATAGATCACTCTTCCTATACATAAAAATGAAAATGTAAGCAAAATAAATTGGTTAAGGTTGTCAAAGCCCTCTGAGTGGAGACCACCAGAAACACACCTATACTTAAAAAGGGTTAGGTGTATTTAACTTGCCGCAGTAAAGGAGAGTACACCATTTGGGACACGCTCATGTGTCTCCCTAAATTTGGGCTCTCCTTCCACGGTTCTGTGGAGGGATTAGGGAAGTGGGGACCGGTTCTGGATTGAACGCTATCAAGAAGCAGGGGCAATTCAGACACTGGGTATCTTTATAATGTTTATCTAGGAGGCAGGAGGATCAAGCAGAGCTGGAGTTACCCTTGGGAAAGAAGCAGCAATCACTCAGAGAAAGGAGAAGTCACTGTTGTGGTCATGAAGTGGCCTCATCTGTGTCGCATTCTAAGCGTGGTTTATGTTCTGCTGGTACCATCACTGTCTGACTATCAGACCGGCCACCTTACGCTTTCTTGGTATTCCTACAACTTCACATTGACATCCACTACAGAAAGCATCTCCATTTCAAAGATGTGAAAATGTGGGGGGAAACGCCCATCCTGGATTTGATGAAATAGGATTCTGGCTGTATTGCCTTGGGCAAGTAATTTAACCCTTTAAGCCTCAACTTCCTGCTCCGTAAAATGGAAACAATACGATCTACCCCACAAGGCTTGTGAGGACTAAGAAATAATGTCTACAAAGTGCTTGTCATTAATACTGGGTGTGTCACTCAGTCCAACCAGGGAAACAAAAGCCACCATAAGTGTGTAAAACAGAGATCTTAAGGCAGGGTATTGGTGACACCTGTGACAGAGGTGATATAAGGGCTGAGAAGCCCAACAGGGGACAGTGAGGCACCCCAGAGGTTAGCAAAAACAAAAAGCTGCCAACACTCCTAAACTGGAGGGGCCGATGGAGGAGATGGATTTAATGGAGCCCAAGGGTGAGGCCACCCTTCAGAAGTTGGAACCACAGCCACCTCCCCAGTAGGAGCTGGAGCCACAGAGGAGCCTCGCCTGCTGCTGGAGACCCACCTGAGCCTGGGCAAGAGAGGGAAAGAGAAGAAATATCAGGGCTCTCTCCTTCCTCCTTGCCTCGAGTCTCCTGCCACTGCCTCCCACGGGCCAGATCCAGGTCCAAGGCAGCTGTCTGCGCAGCCTGAGAAACTGCATCCGGCAGGGCAACAAAGAGCAGAGCAGGAGGGCAAGGAAGGAATCTGCCCCCAAGGCTGGAGACCGAACATTTGACAGAAATTAGTTAAACAAGCTCGCTAACACCTTTAATTGTAAAACCTTTAAAGTACTGCATATTCTTGAAAGTAAAATTTTTCACGCAAAAAAATACTGTAGGGGCCAACCTGGTGGCGTTGGTGGTGAAGTTCCCGGGCTCCACTTTTGGCTTGGATGCTGACCGTGGACCTACACACCACTCCTCAAGCCACGCTGTGGCGGCATCCCACAACTAGGATGTACAAGTATGTATGGGGCTTTGGGGCGGAGGGAGAGGAAGATTGGCAACAGATGTTAGCTCGGGGCCAATCTTCCTCACCAAAAGACACACCTTAAAAAAAAAATACTGTAATCCATACCCACCCGTTCACATCTCCTTTCCCGCCCCCAACCTTCTACATTATTCTGAATTCTGTGCCCCGTCTGATCCAGGGCATTTTAAGATGGATTTTCATGCTCGATTGCAATCTCAGCTCTCCGCAGCAGACGGAGAAGCCCCTTCTACGTCACCGAGGTAAAAGCTCACCCACAGTAGGATTACGAGACAGCAGTGTCATGGCCACTGGACCCTGGTCTTGGGGCTCTCAGGGATTTCTGTGTGACCTTGGGGAGGGTCACAATCTCTGAACTCACGTGTAAAAAATGGAAATTTTAATCGGGGGTGGTACGCGTGTGCCAGCACTCCACTTGGCTCTTCCTCTTTGCATTCCCTTGTCCAGAAGGCTCCACAGTGTTTTTTGAAAAAAAGGATGAATTGTCTAAGAAAACAGATAACGTGCCCAAGGTCACAAGCAAATCGGAAAGAATCCAGGCTGTACTCTTCCCACGCCAAGCCCTCCGCCTAGAACAGTTAATCCTTTCCACTCCCCCATCGCTTCTTTTCCCGCCCGGGCATCTTCTGGCGGAGGAAGGCTGGTTCAGGGGAAGGCAAAAGCGACCCCGAGCAAAATCTGGGGGCGCCTGGCAGCGCTCTTCAAGCCAGCAAAGATGCCCGACTGGAAGCTCAGCGGAGGGCGCCCCGCGGGGCTCGGCCGGCCGGCTCGCGACGCCCCCCGCCCGGGGGAGCGCGGGTCCCCGCTCGGGGGCGGCGATCGCCGCGTGGGCGCGGGAGGGTGGCCGGGAGCCCGCGCGCCCTTCCCGCCGCGCTGCGGGTCCCCGGGATCCTAACGGAGCCGCGTGCCCGGGGCGGGGCCACACGCGATTGGCCGCGCGGGGTCGGGGGCGGGCTCGCGGCGGGCCGGCCGGGCGGGCGCCGACAATGAGCCTCCATAAAAGGCAGCGGCGGGGGGCTGGGGCCCCGGATTGAGCCCTCCCCGGCCGGGGTCCCGACGCGCCAGGTCTCGGGGAGGCCCGGACGTGCCCGTCGCGGGTCCGGCCGGCTAGCGGCGGGGCGGGGGCTGCGCGGGGAGGGGGCGGCGCGCCCGTCCTCCGGTGTCCGGTCACCGCCATCCCCCCTGGCCGCACCATGGCCCTGAAGGCCGAGGGCGCCGCGCTCGACTGCTTCGAGGTGACGCTCAAATGCGAGGAAGGGGACGACGACGAGGAGGCCATGGTGGTGGCCGTCATTCCGCGGCCCGAGCCGATGCTCAGAGGTGAGGATGGGAGGGGATCCCACTTCCGCGTCACCCTGGGGGGGCTCGGGTCCCCCCGGCTCCCCTCCACACACGTTTGGAGCCCGAGCGCCCCCTCCCCCTCCGGCGCGGGGGCCCCAGCACCCCCTTCCCCCTTTGGTCCGGGGCGCGAGTGCGCTTTTGCTCCGCCCTCCCCAGGGTTTGGAATCCCAGGCCTTCCCGAATTCCCCCTCCCCCGCCCCCGCCCAGGGTCTGGAGCCTTCGATTCAGGCCCCGCGCGCTCCGGATCTTCCGGTGCCCGAGCGCCCCCTCTCCCGGGCCCAGCAAGAGCGGCCGGATTCCCGGCGGCGCTGGGTGTCCGCGGCCGCGCGCTCCCGTCCCGCGGAGGCAGAGGCAGAGGCAGGCCCGGGGGCGGCGGGGCCTCCGGACCGAGGCTGGCGCGGCAGCCTGGCGTCCGGAGCTGTTCGGGGGATGGAGGCAGGCGCCGCTGCCGCCCGCCGAGAGGTGGATCGTAAGGGCCCTCCATGCAGAAAGCTTTCCTTCCCACCCCGCGTCCATCCCCAGGCCTTCGACTTGCGTAAGCCACAGGTGTCAGATCCTGGAGCTCCAAGGGAGGATGGGATTGCGTACAGCACCCGCTGTGGGAAAAGAAGTGCTTGCTAGGGGGGCCCTCAGCCACCCTGCCTTGGGAGGGCGTTTTTGCAACAATCTGGGAACACTCGCTTTCCCCTCCCCCTTTACCAATTTTTTTAGTCCTCAGGATCTTGCAAAGCGTAGGAAAACAAAGAGCCACCTTAGTGGGAGACTTAATATTCGTTAAAATGTAAATAGCGTGTTTCGTTCCCAGATACTCTTCCTTGGGGGGGAGGGGGCAGTACCTAAAAGGCGTCGAGAGCCAGGCCATTCATTTAACCCCAGGGGAACTTGATGGTGCGTGCCTGTGCTACCTCTCATCCTTGTTGGAATCGGGAGGGTTATAAAATAAGTAAAGGAGATAAAGGCCGCTACCCTGCTCGGAGCTTTGGATCCAACAGAGAGCTGCTTTCCCTACTTCTGGTATTTATTGAGTACTCCAGGCCAGGCTGTCTCGGCTAATCCTCTCAACAACCCTGCGAGGGCGGCCTCGCTCCCCACTGCTAGGGAGGAGGAAAAAGAAGTGCAGAGAAGTTAATTCATTCAACAGGTGTTTACTGAGCACCTGCTTTATGCCAGGCACTGTTTGAGGCTGGGCATGCTAATGGCTGTAGACAAAGACGGAACTTTGCACTTCTGGAACATGTGTGTACTAATGACCAAAGATAGACAAATGTACAGTATGTCAAGTGGCGATAAAGGGTTCAGAGGACACAGGAGCAAAGTAAGGAGAGAGGTTAGTGTTTTATTTGGAGTGCCGAACGGTCACGAAAGGCTTCTCTAAGGTGAATTTTGAGCGTAGACCCAAAGAAAGTGAAGAGGCGAACCTTGTAGATAGATGGAGGGGAAAGCATTTTAGGCAGAATGTCAAGTGGAAAGGTCCTGAAGCAGAAGCTTCTTGAAGGATTTGGGGTGGGAGAGAAAGGGTGAATTCAAGGTTTTTGGCTTGAGCAACTGAGTGGAAGGATGGGCCTCCCATTTACTGCGATGGGAAGGCTGGGATGCAGGCTTGTGGGAGATGGGGGTTAGGGTTTGGACGTGGCAAGTTTGAGGTGACACAGTAAGCGCGGAGGTCAGATAGGAAGTTAGACATGTGAGTCGCAATTTCGTGGGGGAGGCTGGCTGGAGTCTGCTGTGGGAGTTGTCAACAGGCAGGCAGTGGGACGAGACCATCAGAGGAAGGAGGTAGACATGGGGTCTGGGGATGTCATGGGGCGCTCCTATGATTCCAGGTTGGGGGTCAGCCTCTCATCTGACATTCTGGCGGTCACTACACGCCAGGCACTCTGCTTGGCGCTGAAGATACAGGAGTGAAGGATCAGAAACCGTGCTGTCACGGAGCCTACGGTGTGCTGGGGAGACAGTAAACAAGTAGAGTACCTGTGAGGTCAGGGGGAGACGTGTGCTAGGGAGGAAGTGAAGCGGTGAGGGGAACGGGGTGCTCGGGGTGGGGGGGGGCAGGTGGCAGCTTTCCCCAGGGTGGCACAGAAGGCCTTGGGGAGAAGATGGTTTTTCAGCAACAACCTGGAAGAAGTGAGGGAGCCGTGCAGGGATCTGAGAAGAGAAGGTGACGTGGATGAGGATAAGGATGAGGGTGAGATGAGCAACAGGGACGAGTGACTGCAGACACCTGTAAATAAGAGAAGAACCAAGAGAAGGTGGTGCTCTGGAGGCCAAGTGACAAAAGTCAAGATGGAAGAAGCAATCAGTCAAATGATGAAGTTTAAGAACTGACTGCGGGGGCCGGCCCGGTGGCACAGCAGTTAAGTTCACACGTTCCACTTTGGCGGCCCAGGGTTTGCTGGTTGAGATCCCAGGTGTGGACATGGCACCGCTTGGCAAGCCATGCTGTGGCAGGCATCCCACATATAAAGTGGAGGAAGATGGGCATGAATGTTAGCTCAGGGCCAGTCTTCCTCAGCAAAAAGAGGAGGATTGGCAGCGGATGTTAATTCAGGGCTAATCTTCCTCAAAAAAAAAAAGAACTGACCACTGGGTTTAGCGTTGGTGACCCTTCACGGGCTGTTTTGGAGGAGTGGTGGGAAAGAAAGCCCAAATTGCAACCAGGAGGTCAAGGTTCCTGTCTGCAGCCCCAGGGGAGATAGGTGCAACCCAGCTGTGGAGCCAGGTCTTCTGAGTCCAAGCCAGTGCTCATACCCGTTTCAAATGCCACCTCTTCCATGCAGCCCCCAGGTGTTAGCCTCCCGTATTTGTATTTTGTCCCATCCTCTCAGGTGGGAGAGAGCTACGGTCAGGAGTGCTCACGGGCATGTCACAGAAGCACTGAGCTGCCAGGCTAACATGGGTCTGAGCCTGTCGTCTTTGTCAAGCTGAACAAGGTCATGCCCTGTCAGAACTTACGGTCCATGTGCACGAAGAGCAGGTGCCATGCAGACCCACGGGGACGAGATCACAGTTGCAGATGCTCTGGGGGTATTGTGGAAGCGGGGCTAGTTCTCACGGAATAGGGTGGCTTTCTGAAGGGGCCTCCGCAGGTGCAGAAACAGGCACAGATGTCATTCACTGACTGGAAGGCTCATTGAGCATCTCTTCTCCTGTGTGCCATCCTCATCTTGAAGAAAGCGAGCACTGTGGCCGGGGAGTCACATGCGGAGATAATCAGCCATCAGGAAGACTCCATGGGGGTGACTGAGCAGGGCCATGAAGGAAGTACAGGAATTTGCCAGACTGGTCAGAGTGGTCCAGACAGATGGGCCAATTCTGAAGACGTGCAAGCACATAGCCTATTGGATAAACACATGTGGACATGTGGTCTGAGACTAGATTGAAGGAAGGTGCAGAGGTGAGGTAGCGGGGTCCCAGGGTACCTAGGTTGTGTTTAACGTGGCTGGCGTCTCGTGGGCTCCAGGAAAAGGGAGAGAAAGACTTTGGGTGGAAATGTTCCTACTCCCAATGCCATACCACCTGGTTCGGGGAATCACGTTCTGAGTATTACTGTCCACGGGCACCTTTATTGATAGCATCTTCCTCTCCCTGCGTAGTGGCCCAGCAGGAGAAGACCCCACCACCTAGGCCCAGCCTGCTGGAGGCAGGTGGCGATGGCTGTGAGGAGCCCAAGCAGCAGGTGTCTTGGGAGCAGGAGTTCCTGGTGGGGAACAGCCCAGGAGGCAGCGGGCGGGCGCTGTGCATGGTGTGTGGGGCTGAGATCCGGTCGCCGTCGGCGGACACGGCGCGCACGCACATCCTGGAGCAGCATCCTCACACCCTGGACTTGAGCCCTTCCGAGAAGAGCAACATCCTAGAGGCCTGGAGTGAGGGGGTGGCCCTTTTGCAGGACGTCAGAGCTGAGCAGCCATCCCCACCCAACTCAGGTAGTTGGGCCTGGGGTGGGGTGAGGGGTGCGGGGTGGAGGGAAATGTCGGATCCTTTAGAGTACTTGGAGCTCACTGGGCATTTGCCTGCTTCAGACTCAGGCCAGGAGGTCGATGCTGACCCGGACTCTGACCCAGACCCTGCCAAAATGCCAGCGGAGATTGTCGTTCTCCTTGACTCTGAGGACAACCCATCCCTCCCCAAAAGGAGCCGGCCCAGGGGCCTCCGCCCCCTTGAGCTTCTCGGTCAGTCATCCTGGAAGCCAGTGAGGCTGAGGTGGGGAGCGGGGGGGGAACCACAGGCCCCGTGTTCTGGGGGGAGAGAGGCTGCTGGGCAGGTGTGTTCGGCAGCCCTGAGGTTGCGGGGTTCAGGCGTGGCATCTTAAAAAGATGTGAGGTCTTTTGTTTTTGCAGCTGCTCCTGTCACCGAGCCGGGAAGTAAGAAGCCCCGTGGTCAGAGATGGAAGGAGCCCTCTGGGGAAGAGCCGGTCAGGAAGAAAAGAGGCAGACCTATGACCAAAAACCTGGATCTGGACCCAGACCCGGACCCCGACCCAGGTGAAGCGGGGGGCGGGTGGGGTCTCTGGCTGCAGGGCTCCCAGAGGAAAGCCCAGCCAGTGAGGGTTGGGTGGGGCCCAGGCTGAGGGCATCTGCCTCCCCGGAGGCCTCCAGCTCAGGCCTTTGGATTCTGGCCTCGGCAGGTTAGGCAGCCAGGCCTCCTGGACTCACAGTTCTATCCTGTCTCCCTTCCAGATCCGCCATCACCCGACTCACCCACAGAGACCTTCGCAGCTCCCCCCGAGGTCCGGCATTTCACTGATGGCAGCTTCCCCCCAGGCTTCGTCCTCCAGCTCTTCTCCCACACCCAGCTCAGGGCCTCAGACAGCAAGGACTCCCCCAAAGAGGGGAGAGCGGCCGAAGGAGTCCTACCCCAGCCAGAAAGCGCCTCTCCAGGTGAGCTCCAGGGATCAGGCAGGCCGCATCCCTGGGTCTGGGCTCCGCGAAGTGGCCCTGCAGCACAGCCCAGCGTAGAGGTGGTTGGTGCACGGGTCCCCTGGGAGCCAGGGCCAAGGGCAGGTGGGTTTGAGTGACAGGCTGATCGGAGAGCTGAACTTCTCTGCAGGCTCTGTGGGAGTGTCCTGGAATTGGTCCTCAGATTGGGCCAGGCCAGTGCTCCCCGGAGCCTGACACCCATCACCACGCTTGAGGTTGATTCCAGCTGGAGCCTGAGAGGCGCCCACCTTACCCTGGTGGAGCAGGGGCCGAAGTGTGGCCGGTCACAGGAGAATAGACCAGTAGCAAGCACACAGCCTTTACCACCATGGGGAAGGCAGCTCAGTGAATTGCCTCAGGAGAACAGAAAGCACATGTGTCTGTGTGTTGTGTCCTCTGATTTTAAGCAACTTTTATCTGCCATGGTGCGTTTGGCCCTTAGATAAATATCTTTTCCAGATGGAGAGGCTGAGTCTCAGAGAGAGAGTTTCTCTTCCCCATGGTCCTTGGTTTCCTCTGGCTGCCGTAACAAATTACCACAAACTTAGTGGCGTTCAACACAGATCTGTTACTCTGCAGTTCGGGACGTCAGAGGTCTGGAATGGGTTCACTGGGCTAAAATCAAGGTGTGGGCAGGGCCGTGTTCCTCTCTGGAGGGTCATGGGGAAGCCCATTTTCTTGCCTTGCCCAGCTCCTAGAGGCCGCCTGCGTTCCTGGCCTCGTGGTCTCCTTCCATCTTCAAAGGCGCAGTGGCCAGTAGAGTCTCTCTCGGGATGCCGTCTTCGTTCCGACTCTTCTGCATCCCTCTGTGCCGTTTAAGGATGCTGGTGATTACAGCGAGCCCACCCAGATCGTCTCTTTACTTTAAAGTCAGCCGATTGGCAACATAATTCCGTCTGTAGCCTTAATTCTCGTGAAGCGCACCATATTCACAGATTCTGGGGATGAGGACATGGGCGTCTGGGGGGCGTTCTGCCTTCCACAGTCATGTGACCAAGCAGGGGCAGGATTCAGATGAGACTGGAATGCGTTCCAGGAGGGCAGGGCCCCAGCCTGGTTCCTCTTGGTCTCGCCAGGCCCTGCTTGCAGCATCTTGGGCTTGGGAAATGCTTCTTGAAGGAGTGGATGAGTGACACAGAGGGTGCCTTGTCCCAGCCTGTCTGAAATATGTGTTTGGAGTTAGAGCCCGGAGAAAGAGGCCACATGGGGTGCTGGAGGCTCCCCAGAGCAGGGCTCTCACAAAGGTGGTGTGCTGTTTGCATAAAGACAAAAGCAAATGGGTCGCTTCTCCAGCCCCACCTCCCTCCCCAGTGCTGACCCACTGTCCGTAGTTGGTCCCACAGAGCTCTGGGTGTGTGTACGCGCACGTGTGCACTTGCGTTTATATTTTACCAAAGTAGGCTCCGCTTTTCTTGATCTCGAGGCAGGCCTCGACCCTTCAGGCAGATCACAGGTCTGACTGTCTCAAGTTTCAGCCTGAGTCACACTCCGCCCGCCTCCCCGAGGCACTGCGCTCCGCTTGGACTCCAGCGGTCCCTGGGTCTCGGCCGTCTCCCCGGTGGATCGCTGCTCTAATGGCTGACCCCTTCCCCTGTTTAGAGGGTCTTCTGGTTTCCTTCTCGAAGGGAGCCTTCATTTTGAGTCCTGGGGTACCCTGGGCCCAAACTCCACCTATCTGGAGTGGTGAGTAGCTGAGACGGGGTCCTCGAGTGGCAGGTTCGTGTGGGGCGAGTGGACTGATGTGAGGGGGACGGGGGACAGGAGAGGTGTCCTCAGCAGTGAAGGATCCATGGGGGTGGGAGATGGCCCAGACACGGCAGCAAGTGTTCCCAGCCCAGCCCCGAGGGAGGCACTCTGGGAAATGACACAAGCGGGCAGCCTTTGTCCCTGAGACTCGCTGTCTGGCGGTCCAGGTCAGAGGCAGTGAAGCAGATGGGGAGGAGCAGGGCCTTTGGGGCTTCTGTGCAGAGCGAAGGCTGTGGACCAGTCGTTTCAGGCTGTTTCGGGGACCCACAGCTTGGACAGATTTCTCAGAATCCTGTGAGGCCTCAACCAGAATGTCCGCTTTGAGTTGCTTTGTGTATTGAAGTTCTTGGAAGATTTTGTTTGACTAAAGATACTACCACTTTAAAAAAGGATTTGGAAGTTGGAAAAGGTCACTGTGGTCAGGTCAGCTGAGCTGATGGTTATGAGTGAAGCAGTCAGGGAAGACATTCTAGAACTTTCCAAGGGCTTTGCAGGATGAGAGTGGGGGGGAGGGTGTCCAGGCCAGGAAAAAGGTGGGTCCTGAGGGCCCACTCACACAAATAGTGGAAAAAAGCCTTTTTTGTCTTGTTTGTATTTAATTTTGGGTAGGACCTAGCGATCTGGCTTAGAATACCTTAGCCAGAAGTAAGTATGTGAGTGAGTGTGTGAGATTTTCCCACGAGCACAGGCTTTGTCATGTTCCCTGCTGTATCCTCAGCGCCTACAACAGTGGCTGACGCAAAGAAAGCCCTCAGTGAAGACTCATTGAAAGATAAGTGGACAGTGGCTGCCTGTACTTATTCTGGTGGGGACATCTTGTCCCAGGGCCCAATAAATCCTCCTGGCTTGCTTTTTTATGGGCCTGGGGCTCTGATCATGCATGATTTCTAAAGGGGCATCTGTCTGCCATGACTCTCTCTTCTGATGCTCCCCTCCCCACGCACCCACACCTCTACCCTCCTTGGTACCAGAAAGAATTGTCACTTAATTCCATTGCTTTGGGAAGTCCCTAACTTCATGAGCCCTTACAATGTACTGGACTCTTAATACGTTAACACGTTATCTCTTTAAATCCTCAAAAGCACCATATAAAGTACTATGGTTCTCATGAGCCTTGGGGAGGTTTGGTACCTCGTTCAGGCCACTCGCCCCCTGCAGCCTGTGTGCGTTTCCGCTGGGCCCACGCAGACACCCTGCCCACAGTGCCAAGAAGCATGTCCACCTGCCCCCACCCTCCCTGCGGCATCCAGGCCACATTGTCTGCCTTCTCCTGTAACTGCACTGCTCTTGGCAAAGATGCGCCCGCCCTTTAGACCACCGCTGGAGCCCGTCCCCTCTTCCCCGCCGTCAGTTCTCTCCTCTCTGTCACATCAGCTTTTCTTTCTCTTCTGAATCTTCCCCAGTGGCCTGCACAAAGCTGGACCCCTCATCCCTCTCTAGCCACTGGCCCATTGGTCCCCACACCTTTTCAGCAAAGCTGAAAAGCGTTTACTGTCTCCCTCCAGTTTCTCTGGAGGCCACTCCAGTCAAACTCTCATCCTCGCCGCCCCAAGCTAAAATCACTTTTTTGGCAAGGTCATCATTGACCCCCATAAAATTAATCCAGTGGTGGTTCTCAGTGCTTATCTTCCCTGATGTGGCAGTAATGTGAACCCAGCCCTGCCTCCTTCCTGGAGACACTTTTTGTCCCTGGCTTCTCGGGCAAGCTGGCCTGAATTTCCTCCGCCCTCACTGGCTGTTCTGTTTCTCTTGCTTGTTCATTCACAGGTCCTCAAGTTAGATCCTGTTGTCTTTCTTCCCCCTTCTAGAATGTAAGCTCCCTCGGGTCAGGATGTTGGTCTGTGGTACCCCGATGCCCAGCATGGGATAGGGGCAGCTTCTGTATTTGGTGAATGAATGAGTGACTAAATGCCCCCACCCTGGGTCCGGATCTTTACTCATGCTCTGTGTGGTCCCAGCCTGGGCCTCTCCCTGGGATTCCAGCCTCTCTTCCTGTCGCCCATGTGGCATTTCTAACTGGTTGTCTGGAAGATCTCTCAAGCTCGGCGTATCCACGTGGAACCCCCAGTCTCCTCCCCACAGCCCCAGCCACTCTGTTCCTCCCCTGTCTCCCCTTCCCTTCCCCCATTGTTCACTTTGGCTGGACCAAACACTTGGACTCAGCCCCTTCTGGCTCTCTGAAACCCCCCGTCAACACGTCCACGCGTCCCATTAGCCCCGCCTCCAAAATAACGTTCAGAATTCACCGTCCTGTCACCACCGCCGCTGCTGCCACCCCAGTGCAAGCCGTCTCCTGCCTGGCCCCTCTAACAGCCTTCCAGCTAGTCTCCCAGCTTCTGACCTTCGCCCACTGTGGTCTGGTCTCATACAGCAGCCAGTGTGCCTCGAAAACCCAAGCAGAGGCCTGTCGCTGCTCTGCACAGAGCCCTCCCGTGCTCTTCTTGTCGCACTCCAGACACAGGCCAGAGTCCTTGAGGTGACCAGAGATCCTCACCCCAGGATCTTTCCCTCTCCCACACCCCCGGCGCATGCGGCACAGGCACTGGTCCGGCTGTTCCAACAGCAGTAGGTGTGCTCCACCAGGGTGTCCGCATTTGCTTTTCCTCCTGCCTAGAATGCTGTTCCCCCAGCTAGCCACAAAGCTAACTCTCCACTTCCTGTGCATTTTTGCTTATTTATTGCATCTTTTGTTGATCCTGTTTTTTGCCTCTCGCCACTGGAACATAAATTCCAAGAAGGCCACCCGGTGGGCCCCATGCCCTGCTGTACCCCTCCCTACTGGAACAGTGTTGGGCACAGCATAGTTGCTCCATAAGTTACTGTTGAATTAAAGTACAAATGAGTGGGGTTCAGGCTGCCCTCGAGGAGCTTAGGATTGTCAAGGAGACAAACCAGCTTATGGGAATACACAGCAGGATTGGCTCAATCGTACAACCCAGTGGCAGCCCCCAAGTCATGTTAAACCCCAGCAAACTGTCCAGCAAAATTGTTCGCATTTTCTCTGCCACGCTTTAAGTCACTGTGTCTCTAAAAACAAGATAGAAGAAAACCATAAACTGGTCTTTCTGGATCCAGACGTTGCAGCAATTGCAATCACCGTTTTCTGGTTTTGCTTTTCACTGTAACTTTCGCACATGCCCGTGTCGCGGGGGACATTTTTGTTTTTCTGTTTTGAGAAATAATTGACATCCATCCAGGGGACATTTTTGTAGCTGTGCAATAGCCGTTGGCAGTCTACTTTCCCTGTCTCCAGCCCGGGTTTGCCCAGCCTGAGTGGCTTCTCCACGCCGCTAAGGTGGACGTCTGGTCCCTGTGTGGTAGGGGATGGCGCCCAGGAGATGAAGAGCCTGGTCGAGGTTGCAAGGCCGAGCTGGGACACTAGCTCAGGAGGCCCGGTGCCCTCTCCTCTACCATGCGTATTTACTCAGGAGCTCCTTGGCCCTGTCTTACTGTGCTTTGGGGTGTTCCCCACCCCCGTCACCTCAGCCCGCCCAGGGCAGAACCCATCAGGCTAGGATGCCCACTGAGTTTCAGATGAAATGGAGTCAGCGGAAGGTAAGAGTTGAGGGAGGCGTACACCGGTAAGCATCTGTACGCCGCTAAGCATCCGTGCACCGAAATAACAGGAAAGAGGAAGGCCACGGAGGGCCTTGGGCCCATGACCTTGTTTTCTGGTGGGTAGTGGTGCTTGGATGAACCAGAAGTGGAGCCTCCCACGTCCTCAGGCTTCTCCCCTTAGCAGGCACTGGGTGATGGGAATGGGGGTGCAGTTTGCAGAGACCGCCAGGGAGCATCCTGGTGGTGGGGTTCTGGAGGGCCCTGACTCTGCTCTCTGCTCCCATCCCTGCCCAGCTCCCCCTCCGGGGCTTCGCGGGACACTGGATCTCCAGGTTATCCGTGTGCGGATGGAGGAGCCCCCGGCGGTCAGCCTCCTGCAAGACTGGTCCAAGCCCCCCCAGGGCACCAAGGGTGTGGGAGCAGGTGACACCCCAGACTGGCCCTCGGTTCTGTCGGAATCCAGCACCACTGTCGGGGGGCAGCCGGAGGCAGGTGGTGGTGTGTAGGTTCTTGCTTTCCCGGGGAGGGGGGGGTGGGAGGAGGCAGTGTTCCCCTTTGGCTTAGTCACTCACAGCTGCCCTGCTGGGCCACCTGGTGGAGAGAGTAAAACCAGGTGTCAGGGCAGGATGGAGGAGCGGAAGTGGGCAGCATCCGCTCTCCCTGGGGGCACTGGGAAATGTCTGCCCCTGGCCAGGCAAGAGGCCAGGCCCTGAGGTGGGCAAGGGTGGCTGAGGGCCGGCGTGCGGTAGGGCATTGGGCCTGCGGAGAACACCCACCCCGATCCTTTTGCTGACCCAGATCTCTCTGTCCCTCGTTCCTCCTCCCAGCCTCTCTTAGCCCCCCACCTTTCTCCCTTGGCACAGTGCCTTACACAGAGGTGGTCATAACGGGGTTTGATCCGAGTCCCACTACCTCGGGGGACGCCTCTCCTCCCCCACCTGTTCAGGCTCCTAGACCAGGAGGCCTCCATTACCTCTTCCCGCTCCATCCCCGAGGAGGCCCACAGCCCTCCTGGGGGCCCCATTCACTCCCTCTCTCCTTTCCACCTGTTTTCCTGTTGTATATATCTCCTTTGTTGACAATAAATTATTTTTTTTTATTAAGAGAGTTCCGTCTGGGCCATCATTGGGGGAAGGGGTTGCTACCAGGACATCTGGCCGCCTGGAGCGACCTTGAGGGGAAGGAGGGCTGTGAGGAAAGCCCCCTACCCCAGAAGGTGGGGCGGGGCCAGGGCTGGGCTCTGTGGGGCATGAGGCCTGGGGTTGACAGTCACAGAGGGACTCGGGCCCTCCCCTTTGCCGCTGCCCTCGAAATGGGGTCAGAAATGCCTTTTTTACAGTTGGTACCTTCTGACTCACTTGGTAAGCATCTGTCCAAGAGAGGCCTCGGTGAGGGGACCCTGGGGCTCCCACACCCTAGGAGCTGAGACTTAACCTTTCCGAGGTGAAATGGTTGTGTCCGTCCCGTGTCTGTCCATCCCCCGCTCCCCCCCACCCACCTCACGATAGGGGCAGTCCTGCCCTCTCCAACCTTCCACCTCTGTGTATACAGCCTCACAGCTTTGTCACGCCCTCTTTTTGGCTTAATTGAACCCGAGCCTTTGCCTGGTGGCCCCATTCCCTGGGTCAGGAGTTAGCCCACTATGGGTGTCTTCATCAGATTCCTTACCCTCCTCAGCTGACTGTCACAAGCCAAATCTGTGTGAAGTCTTTTTCCTCTTTGGTGTTAATGGAGCTCCCTCTCAGACCCCAAACTCGCTGTCCGGTTGAGAATCCTGGGGCAAGCAGGATCCGTAGGACCGGGCTCCTGGTGAACATGTGCGTTCAGGGAGAGAGGGCATAGGCAAGACACAGCACAGTTGTTTGCGTTCCACACTGACCCAGCTGGGCTTTGAGACTGGTCAGAAAGCTCATCTTTGAGTCAGGAAGGGTCTGGGCATGAGCACACTGTGCTGTGTGCTTGTCAGAGCTGTGTCACCCATGGGCCAAATTCTGATAGCGTGGCCAGCTGAGCCTCAGTCCTTTCTCCCCATCTGACTCACTTCGAGCCCAAGGAAGTGTGGGGCCCTTGTCCCAGGGAGATTAGAAGACGCTGTGGAGGAGAAAAGGCAGCAGGCAGAGGTTCAGGACCCCTCGTGTGCGTCTGGGTGGCTCCCGTGTGAGATCAGGTGTGCCACAGCGCGCCCCATGTCTCTACCACCATTTCTGCACATGGCAAAGCTTGTATCCTACCTGTTAGAAAAGAATGAATAGTGCTGAAAATCTGGCTCTGAACAGCAATTGTGAATTACTGCAGGTGATTTCTGTCCGTCCTTTCAGTCGTGTCGCTGTGTTTACATTGATGCCGATGTGCTTTTCAACAACGTGGCTGTGTTGCTGGATGTTCCCAGTTGAGAAAACGCGTATATAAGCTCGTTGTAAAACCGTGACGCTAAATGCGCCTTCGCTGCTGTTACTGTGACGGCTGGTCTGGCCCACTAGACTGTGAGCTCCTGGGCAGGAACTAGGTTGCATTGACTTCTTTTTTCTAGAGCCCCATGTGGGGCCTTCACATAGTAGGTGCTCAATAAATGTCAAGTGCCCTCCTGGTGTGTTTTCTTGTGTGATGTTTATCAGTGCGAGCTGTTCCCTAGGGCGCAGTTCTCTGCACAGGGGGCTGCCTCGGTGTCTGCGGGTGGCATTCCAGGACTTCAGCCCCACATCCCGGCCAGTCGGGGTCTGCCCAGCCTTGGCCGGGACCCTAGGGACTGTGTGAGTGGCGGTGGCTGGAGGCTGCCCTGTGGCACCTCTGGGCTCCCAGGGAGAGGTGGAGGGAGGGAGCTGAGGGCATGACCCCAGCCGGGGTGCAGAAGGAAGTTTCTGAACTGAGGTGACTGATGGCTTGGGGATGTTGTACCATCCCCCCCACTCCCCCTCCCCCCCACCTGCACAACCAGAGCCACCATCCTGGAGCCACTGCAGCTGTTTGCCCACGACATGAAGAAAGCCTCCATGGCGACTTTCTCCAGGTGCGATGCTGAGAAACAGCCGCTGCCCCTGACTGCTGAGCCACGTTCCTGTGCTCTTGATCCTAATACTCTGTGCTCTGGACTCAGCCAGCCACCTCCTGCCCCTCCCAGTTGCCCTCCTTGGGGTCCAGGGCAAGGAGTAATAGCCCTGGGGGCTAAGCCAGTCTGAGACATGGCAGGGAGAAGCCCGTTCCTTCCTTGAAGAGAAACGAGTGTGGGAGGGTGCGGCTGGGAATGGGGGATGCTGGCTGGGCCCCTGTGCAGCACCCAGTGGCAGCACTGGTCCCCTGCCAGCTCTGTGGCTCCTCAGTCTGGCCTCCCTCTCCCTTTGATAAAACGCAGCAGTCACTTCACCCCACCTCACGCACACACACCTGGGCTGCTCTGTGGCTCAAAGGAGACTGCGTTCGGAGCCATTTGTAAACTGTCACACCCTGCACGCCCCTGAGGTGTGGAAGGATGGGGGCTGAGATGGGAGAGCGTCTCTGATGGGATTGCAGCCTGTCTGTCTGTTCCCTCCCTGAGTCTGGACGGGGGTGCCCAGCTGACCTCCCCAAGGCCTCGCCGGCAGGGTGCAGTGCTTGCAGGTGCAGCGACAGGTAAGGTGGCTCCGCAGTACCTGGTGTGTCTGTTCTCCCGCCTCCCTGGGACCAGGTGCTCAGCCCAGAGCCTTCACGCCACTGAATCTGGCCGGTCCCTTTCTCCTCTAGAAGGAACAGCCTGATTTCACGCACAGAACACATCAGCCTCCAGAGAAGGAAGCGGAGCAGGTCTTTTGGGCTCCCCAACACCAACACCAACGCCTCAGGTGTTGGGCCCCACATCTAGGAGGCCCGAGGGAGCAGGGGGCTGGGGCGACCCCCCTGCAGGGCTCAGAGTCCACAGGCATGAATGAGGCTCCCGTGGGCAGGAAGTGTGCTAGGAACTGCAGAGAGCAGACAGGACACCGCCCTGGTCTCTACGTGGTCACCCCAAATGTGCCCATTGTACAAGCGAGGAAACTGAGGCACAGCGAGATGAATGAGGTGACTTGCCTGCCATTCCAGGGCTGGTAAACGAGCAGAGCCGAGCAAGCCCAGGCCACTGACCCCAGAGCTCTTGTCTCCTGTGCTATGCGGCCTGCTTCTGCTTTAGGAAGACTGACACACCCTCTCTTGAGAGCCTGGGCACCTGTGGTAGGATGAGGGTAGGGGTTGAGGGGGCAGGGACTCAGGTGGGAGCCAGGAAGGTCATTCACAATGACAAACCCTCAGCATCTCCTTTGTTCCATGAGATACTGTGATTTATAAGAAATATATGTATTTGGGGCCGGCCGCGTGCCTGAGTGGTTAAGTTCGCACACTCTGCTTCAGCAGCCCAGGGTTTTCACCAGTTCTGATCCTGGGTGTGGACCTAGCACGGCTCATCAAGCCATGCTGAGGCAGCGTCCCTCATAGCAGAGCCAGAGGAACCTACAACTAGAATATATAACTATGTACTGGGGGGGTTGGGGAGAAGAAAAAGCAAGAAAAAAAAAGCCAACAGATGTTAGCTCAGGGCCAATCTTTTTTTTTTTTTTTTAATAGATTTTATTTTCCTTCTTCTCCCCAAAGCCCCCGGGTACATAGCTGTATATTTTCAGTTGTGGATCCTTCTAGTTGTGGCTTGTGGGACGCCGCCTCAGCATGACCTGGTGAGTGGTGCTAGGTTCACGCCCAGGATCCGAACCTACAAAACCCTGGGCCACGGTAGGAGAGCGCACAAACTTAACCACTCGGCCACGGGGCTGGCCCCCAGGGCCAATCTTAAATATATATATATATATATATATATATATATATATATGGTCATTCAGATGACCAAAATATATTTCTCAGATACATTTGGCCTTCTTCCACAGTTTCTGGCTCACACCTCCCAAAACCCTTGGAATTTCCTGCGTAATAAGGGGAGGGAGCATCTTTTGTTACGGTATTTGGTCTCTTGTCCTCAGTTCCCAAAAAAACGCTTGAGAGCCATAAAGGTGATGTGAGGGTCTTGATATTCATAACAAGCCCTTTCCACCGTAACTGGGTGTATGTGAATGAGGTGATTTCTGCAAAAGCACCGATGGGGGGCGCTGGTTGCCAGTGGAGCCCACCAGGTGGTTAGAAGGTTAGGACTTTCTGGGGCTGGAGGTTGAATCAGTCACCAACGGCCAGTGATTTAGTCGATCATGCCTATGTCATGAAGCCTCAGTCAAAACTCAAAAGGACAGGATTTGGAGAGCCTCGGGGTTGGTGAGCACGTGGAGGTCTGGGGAGAGTGGCACACCTGGGGAGGGCATGAAGCTCTGCGCCCTTCCCCATAGCTTGCCCTGGGCATGTCTTCCATCTGGCCGTTCTGAGTTGTCTCCTTTTGTAAGAAACCTGTAACGCAATAAGTCAAATGTTTCTCTGCTGTGAGCCGCTCTGGTCAACACCCAAGGAGGAGGTCATGGGAACCTCTGATTTACAGCTAGTCGGTCAGAAGAACAGGTGACACACCCTAGGCTTGTGATTGGCCTTGAAGGGGGAGGGCAGTCTCATAGGACTGAACCCTTAGCCTGTGGAATCTGGTGCTGTCTTCAGATAGATGGTGTCAGAATTGAGTTGAATTGTCGGACACCCAGTTGGTGTCCGAGAATTACTTGTCATATGTGTGGGGAACTGCTCCCCCCATGTTGGAAACTGGATCTCCTAACACCTGTTTGCTCCAGCTCTCTGATGGTGGTGCCCAGGGCCCTTGCCAGGCCGTTTCCAGAGTCACCCAGGTCCTGGCACCTGCTAGGATGGTACCCAGTGCTGACTGAAGGGGCTCACCACAGACGTGGAAGGCTGCTCGTCTCACCTGCCCCTTTTCCAGAAGGGGGCTCCTCGGCCCCTGGCTAGATCCTGACTGCCGGCCCTGGCCTCGCTCAGCAACCTCTGACCCTGGCTCAGACTGGGCTCTGTATCTGGAGGCTACAAAAGCAGGGACTGGGGCCGGCCCCATGGCACAGCAGTTAAGTGCCCACGTTCCACTTTGCCGGCCTGGGGTTTACCGGTTCAGATCCTGGGTGCAGACATGGCACCGCTTGGCAAGCCATGCTGTGGTAGGTG